TTTTAATGAGGTAGGAGCAGTAATGTGCTAGTTAATGTTTAAACGCTATTTAGTTTTTAAGTTGAGAGGGGGACTGTCTGATTTTTACTGTTTGCCAATTGCTGTAGTGAAATTACTGCCACTATGGCTGATTGCAAACTACTAAAGTGAATCACTGAACTTAGAGCTGGAAAGACGCTAACCAGAAGCTCCTGCAAGCCAGTGGGGGCTGATTCCAGCACACCGATGGGTGGCAATAGCAGCTGCTTGCCAAAAATCCCTGCAAATCTATTGCCAAGGGAATTTTTCCTCTTACAGAGAGGCTACTTGAACTCGCATCAGCTGTAAAAGTAAGCTCGGAACCAAGATAATTGGGTTGGTAAATGACGAGGGAGTTGTGTGAAGAGTAACTTCATTGTGTTTGTACAGCAAATCTATTCCTCCACAGTAAGTGCAGTGACTTTCTCTGACCACAAGCTGCGGCATCTGAGTGTAACAGCCTGAGAGCTCAGCACGGCAGCGCTGAAGCCGGAGTGCCCAGTGGACAGCCTGGGAGTCTGGGACCTGGCCTCCAGTCCAAGCCCTAGTACAAACATTCTGTCTCACCTTGGGCAAACTGCTTAATTTCTCTGGGTCCACACATTTTCATATCTAAAATGTTAAAATGGGGGCTGGAAATAAGAGAACAGAACAGATAATCATCAAAGTTCCTCTTCTAAATCTTCAATATGCGATCCCCTGAGATAACAGGAAACTAAGTGGGAGGGTAGTTTTAAGTGATGTTGTTTCCAAAAGTATCATAATGGGGAAACAGTAGAAATTCCCAAGAAGGACACTTCTTGTTAATTGCTGGATGGTCTGCAGAGAGCTGCAGTCCCTATTTTTACGAGAAAGGAAGGCTTTCAAATACGGTTTTATGGCTGAGAAACAACAGCTCCCAACTGCCCTTCATTTCTTCTTGTAATGAGATGAAATGTTTGCTTCCGTATGCCTATCTGAGAGGGCTCTCAATTAAACCCAAAACGTCTACATGAGGCCCATCTCTTTGCTGGTTTATGGTATTTCCGCCATGATTATCCGATGGAGTTATTATTCACTACACTATCCTAATATCAACATTTGCTTCAATCTAGTCTGAAAATACTAGAGAATATCCAGATTGTCATAGTAAGAGGTAAACTGTTACACAGGAAATGTCTTGATCATTGGTGTCCAGTCATATAGTTATGAAAGTGGCCAAGAATATTCATCGTTAGTTGGCTGCTTGTAAAAACGGGGTTTTGGTAGGCACCTCTAAGAACATTTTTCTGATATACCTTCTGGATTGCTTCAAGTAGGTAATATTTCATAAATTAGGAAGCTCTGGTAGTGAGAGATGAAGAAGCGTAGTGTATTTTATCTCTGGATGCAGTGTCAGTATTAAAAAGACCTTAGCTACTGGTATTTTTGCAACCGTTGCAACTCGCCCATGATATGCAATATATGATCCAGTATAGGGGAGAATTCACAGCATCAAAGGCCCATGTTGAAAAATATATTTTAGGCCGGGCGCGGTGGCTCAAGCCTGTAATCCCAGCACTTTGGGAGGCCGAGGCGGGTGGATCACGAGGTCAAGAGATCGAGACCATCCTGGTCAACATGGTGAAACCCCGTCTCTACTGAAAATACAAAAAATTAGCTGGGCATGGTGGTGCGTGCCTGTAATCCCAGCTACTCAGGAGGCTGAGGCAGGAGAATTGCCTGAACCCAGGAGGCGGAGGTTGCAGTGAGCCGAGATCGTGCCATTGCACTCCAGCCTGGGCAACAACAGCAAAAACTCCGTCTCAAAAAAAAAAAAAAAAAGAAAAGAAAAATATCTTTTAGATGCTTAAAAATAATTTGTTCACGAACCACTGAGAGTGATTTGAAACTCAGAACAGGGAAAATTTTCTAAACTTCATGAGATAGCCTTGGAAAGTTGAATGATACACTTAATTTTTTGTTTTAGCAAATCTGGAAGCATCTTATATGGCTTAATAAATTACAGATTATCCATTAGACCTTTCTCAACTCCATACCACTCTGAACTATATTATTCTTATTATCCTTGACCCTCAAATTTTCTTGCTTTAATGTATCTGCTGGTTTTCTCATGGCCGCCGGAGAATTAATGGTGCATGTTAATACACATACCATGTTGGGTGGTACCACACGTGGCGGGTAGATGGCATTCCTGAGTACATTTAGGTTCAGGTCCTGGCTGTACTTGAAACCAGCTGTTCGATCTTGAGCAAGTTACATAACCTCTCTGTATTTCCGTTTCCGTATCTGTAAAGTAGGGATAATAATATTGTTTACTGGCCAGGTGCGGTGGCTCAAGCCTGTAATCACAGCATTTTTGGAGGCTAAGGCAGGAACAGCGCTTGAGCCCAGGAGTTAAAGACCAGCCTGGGCAACATGGCGAAAACCCATCTCTACAGAAAATACAAAACTTAGCTGGATTCACTGCAGGTGGTGTGCACCTGTAGTCCCAGCTTTACAGGAAGCTGAGGTGGGAGGATGCTTGAGCCCAAAAGGTTGAGGCTGCAGTGAGCAGGTGACCCTGCCACTGCACTCCAGCCTGAGCAACAGAGCCAGACTCTGTCTCTAATTGTAATAATAACAGCATCTACGTCATAGGATTATTGTTAAAAACTAAATTGGGTACTTCATGTAAAATAATATTCAAAAAGTATGGCATATACCTGCTGACATATATTTAGTACTCAATAAATAGTAGTCCTCATACGTATTCTTAACTCTTGACAGTTGAATGTGTTGAACTTCAGTGTGTGTGTATTGTGTGTGTGTGTTTAGTGATTAGATGAGTTGTGTTTTGCTCTGGCTAAAACTGAAGGTAAGTTGCCTTTCTCGTACATCTATCAGCTAGTGGGCAGGGAGGTCCTCGAGCGTGGTATGGCACAGGGGGAGTTATTCCAGGATTAAAATATCTGCTGCGGGGACAATCTACATGCAGACAATTGAACTGGTTTGATACACTTTATGAATTGATATCTGGTAGGCCTTTCCACAGACGTTTTCACCCAAATGTAAAACATCGCCGAGAGGTGAAATGACTAGAGGCTGTGGCCCAATGTCCTTAATGCACTGGTATTCCTCTCCTCCGTCCAGCGCAGAAGGATATGCGTACCTCCTCAGTGTTGCCGGTGAGACAGTTCATCCAGAATACTTCCAGAAACTGGACCTTGTCCATATATCCACGATGAAGGAGTCGCTTTATACTACAACTTCCTCTCTTTTGGAAATGTGTGTCTCCAAACCATTGCAAGTTTTATGGGGCTTTAGTTGTATCTAAGGTTGGCTGCAGGTGGGGAATGGAAGGAGGGAGTTTTCTTTGATCCATCTAATGAATTAATGAATTAACCTTAGGTGGGGTTCAGAAGCCAGGCTCCTTACTGTTGCTGAAGCAGGGCTGATTATGAGCCAGCCTAACTGCTGGAAAAATGGAGCTTCGTGCTAGAATTAGGGACATGTCCCAGTCCATTCATCTTCCCTAATCGAGTTCTTGGGAAATACACACATAGATTAGCTCCTAACAATGACCCCCGGCTGATTGCTTGGAGTACCCTCCGCGGTGCCCACAATGGTACTGACTAGCTCTTTATGTCTTGCACAAAGGAAGCCCCAACTCCCCGTTGTCCTTCTCTGCCCTGCTCCCCGCAGCTCCCCCACCCCATCACCGCCACCCTCACCAGTGGCTGTTGAAGTCATTTCTGCTTTTCTCCCCAGACTCTGAAATAAACAGTAAATAAAAGCTAACCTCACCTGGACTTATTAGGAGGAGCTGGGCAGTTTCAGAGGAATTAACTTTGGAAAACAAGGCCATAAACCCCTTAGCAGCGTGTGGGCAGGAGCTTAAGAAAACGCTGCCAATCTTTGTTTAGCGGTGATTATCGAGATCAAGTTAATATTGGGGAAGTTTGCATAAAAAGCATTCTCGGTCAGAGGGGAAACAACAAATACCAATTAAGTATCCCCATGGCTGCCCTCTGCTCACCACCACCTCAGCACATCAGCCACCTGGTCTATGTAACTGGCAGTCTGGCCTTGTGGGTGCCACCAGGCCATTTGTGGGGCCTGGAAAGGCGGAGGAGGGGGAGAGGAGGAGGCAAAGCCTGGTCTCTCAGGGGACTCTCCAGAGGGTTTGATTTGCCCTGGATGCCAGTGCCCAAAGGCCACTCTCTATAGACCCTGACTTTGTTTCATCTGGGAGCTGACCTGCTTCTACCTCCACCTCTTTGTTGCAGGATTCAGTCTCAGGGAAGGATTAAAGACAGACTGCAAGCTAAGATGGGCTTTGATTCTTTTCAAAAAGATCACACTCTACAATAATAATTACAAACAAGCTGCAGGCAGAAAACACTCGACAAAGAGTCAGTGGCCTGAGTTCTAGTTCTGACCCCTCCACTTAATAGCTTTATCACTTTGAGCCTCAGTTTCCTCTTCTGTAAAATGGGGACCAATGTATCTGTCCTGCTCGCCTCACAGGGTTGTAAAGATCAGATGACATGAAGAATGTGAGAGGATTCTGAAAATTACAAAGTGACATGTTGAGAGGATTGTGTGAGCCCAGGGGTTCCAGACTACAGTAAGCCACCATCACACCACTGCACGCCAGCCTGGGTGACAGAGAGGGACTCCGTCTCTAAAATAAACAAATAATAAATAAATAAATATGATATGTGAACTCTGTAAAGTGCTATTAACTTACATTAGCTTTTTTCTTAAAATTAAAACTAATTTCTGACTTGAAGTAATTTAGTTTTTATCTCCTAGGGTCACATGCTTGCCTTTATTTCAATTTGCCTTTATATAGTTTTATTAAAAATAGATATGCCTCACAGGGAATTAACCATTGAATGATCTTTAAGGAACTGCTTTGTCCTCCACAAATATCCTCCTAACACCAATTTAAAGGTGGGGAATCTGAGGATGTGTGTTTTCCCTCTTTTATTCCTTTGTCTTGTCCTCCAGCCTGGACGTTAAACTTCCCCCAGACCAGCGGCCCTGGCCTTTCCCAGTTTATTTGATGCCCACGACGTGGCCCTCGATGGTGTCCTGCCCTCCAAAGGGACGCGGCAAACGCTTGTCTGAACGCAAGCGGGATGAAGAAGACGCCCCTGCCGCGGAGATCAGGGCGCCTAATGAAAAGGAGATTTTAGTTATGGTGTCCTCTAGGTCCTTGGGCTTTTATAGGAAAGCATTTTAATTCACGGTTCAGGCCACCAGTTCAGGGAAGGCCAAGGGCCCTCCTAGTGTCTCTCCTCAGATTTGAGGGGTGCGATGTTCACAGCGCCATTGTCCATCCGCGCCGCGGGAGGTGAAACACACTCACCCTCGCAAAGCATCTTTCCAAGTGGCCGATCAGTCGCTGTGGGACACGGAAGCCTCCACGGGGTCCAAAGGAGAAAGAACTGCAAGCCGATTACTCCTGAACCCTCGGGGAGGCGCGAGGCCTCCTCGCCGGGAAAAGGTCCTTCCCCAGACAGCTCGGGGCCCTCTCCTCGTCCCGGAGAAGTGTTGGAGGGTGGCGGGAGTTCCCGCAGAACAGGGGCGAGGTGGGGAACTCCAGGCGGGTCTCCTGCGGAGCCTGAGCCCGGCTGCGCACTGGACGCGGGGCTCCTAGCCTCCTGCTGGACGATCGGGCGCTAGAGGTCACCCGACCAGTGGGCACAAATTGCCCTGGGGTAGGCGCTGGAGGGAGGGAGGGAGGGAGGCTGGGGCTCTTAAGTCCGAGGGGACTGGGAGGAGTTAAAACAGATATAGATGGACAAACTAAACGCGAGGCCTGGGAATTGGTACCACCGACCCCAGAACTGAGTGGGAAGAGAAAAGGGAGCAAGCTGGGGGAAATTCAAACTCGGACGAGTGCGGAGCTGGGAAGCCTTCGGCTGGGCTCGGCGCTTCCAGAGGGCACCAGGCCAGCGTGGCGGCCCTGCGGAGGTGAACCAGAGGGGGCGAGGGGCGAGTCTGCAGCTGGGGAGGAGTTTCGTCCAGGAAGGGAGGTGACCCCTAGTGGGTAGTCTGATGTGAGAAGGTAAGCCCGAGGCAGGGGGCGACAAACGCAAGGGGAGAGATGAGCCCAACGGCGTCGGCTCCACTGAGGCAGGACTAGAGGTGACCGCGATCGGGTTCCCGGGCCTTTCAAGCATCCAGTCGCCGATCCCCGGAGTGTGTTTGTAAAGCTTAAAACGGATCAAGAAGTAGGAGGGGAATGTTCCTAGTGCCCGCCTGGGGATGGCCAAGCGAGGACCCTGAGGCTGGGCCGGGCGAGGACCCGCCCCTCGGTGAAGGGAGGGGCCGAGAGAAGAGGCTGGGTTCCAGGCGAGAGGGGAGGAGCCAAGGACCAGTTGGCTCCCTGCCTTCAGAGCCCAGAGCCCCAGCTACTCCGAGCCCGAACTTCCGACTTCTGGGACTAAGGCAGCAGCGGCCTGAGCGCTCGGCCACCCCCAGCGTGCGCAGCCCTGGCGGGCTTCGCCCGCTGAGCTTGACCTAGGGTCGGAACCCGTCGGGTTGCACCGCGGCACTCGGGAAGAGCCGACTTCGAGCCTCTCCTCTCCATCTCCAAAGCGTCCCCCCGCCTCCCCACGCTCCCCATGCACCTGCCGGGCTGCGCGCCTGCCATGGCCGACGGGAGCTTCTCGCTAGCCGGCCACTTGCTCCGCAGCCCGGGCGGTAGCACCTCTCGATTGCACAGCATCGAGGCCATCCTGGGGTTTACCAAGGACGACGGGATCCTCGGCACCTTCCCCGCGGCTGGGAGCGCCCGGAGCTCGAAGGAGCGGGATAGGAGGCTGGGCGCGCGGTCCGCCTGCCCCAAGGCGCCCGAAGGAGGCGCCGAACCCTCCACGCCGCCAGCCCCGGCGCCTGTCCCCGAGTACGAAGGTGAGTGCTCACCCTTGGCTGTGCGAGGCCCTTCGGGCGCCCGAGCTTAGGAGTCTGCCCGACGGGAGCGCCCCTTCCTTAACTTGTATTAAGGCACATGGGCGCGGGGTTGGGGGCTCTGTCTATGGCGGGAGCTTCCAGTTTGCATTCAGAGAAAGTTTAGGACCCATCGCTGCCCTCAACCCGGACCTCCCTGGGCCATCTCGGAGCCCGCAGCCGGACTGGCCAGCGCCCACGGCAATGCGTGGTCGGCCCGGGCCCAAGGGTGCTCCGGGGAGCGTCTCTGACCCTCCCGGGCCTCGTCGCCCCAGCCCCTCGCCCTTACTGCCCCAAGGAGCCCGGGGAGGCACGGCCGAGCCCAGGGCTGCCCGTCGGGCCAGCCACCGGCGAAGCAAAACTGTCAGAGGAGGAACAGCCCAAGAAAAAGCATCGGCGGAACCGCACGACTTTCACCACCTACCAGCTGCATGAGCTGGAGCGCGCGTTCGAGAAGTCCCACTACCCGGACGTGTACAGCCGCGAGGAGCTGGCCGGCAAGGTCAACCTACCCGAAGTCCGGGTCCAGGTAAAGCGCCCAGGTTGAGGAACTGGGATCCGGGAGGGCCTGAGGCCCAAACTGCAGCTAGTGTTTCTCGGAATTCACGGGCATCCACGCATGTATTACTGTCCTTCCTGGACTTGGCACGCCCAGAGTCCCAAGGGAGAGGCACAAATCTTCGATGTTCGCTGTGCACTACCCTTCAGGCAGTCTGTTCCAGTTTGTAATATGGGCTCCCCTTTGGGGGTTTTCCTCTTCTAAACTAAAAAGGGAAGACGGGAATGACTTACAAGATGAAGAGACCAACAGCTCATTAGACAGAGGAAGGGGTTGGGGGCTGCTGAGTGGAAAGAGAATGCAGGTAGCTGCTCCAGGGTGACAGTATGGGGGCCCCAAATGCCACCCTCGTCACTAGCAGCGCATACCGTGTTGAAAACGAAAACCCTGTTTCCTTGCGAAGGGCCTGGCACCTCGAAGTTGAAACTTCGGGTGGATTTGTTTA